CCTCCCACCCAACCATTCATACGTCCATTCATCCACCCATTCATGCGTCCATTCACCCACACACTCACACCACAGACACACATGAAGTGGGCGGTAGTGTGTTTGATGGCGTGTCTGTTGGTGTATCGGTGCGTGTGTGTCACACATCACATTCATTGCGTGGCTGTCATGAGTGGTGATAGAGAGAGATTGGGGGAGGCGTTGCTGCATGCATCCATGTTGCCTTTGCCTAATACATACAAGCAAGCAGTGCGTAGCCCTGTAGCTAAGTACTGGAGGGAGGCGTCAGACAAGGAGAAGACGAGCTGGGAGAAGAACAGCGTATATAGTGTGGTGCCACGAGAGAGAGCGAGGTCGAAACCACTGACTATCAAGCAAGTATTCACCATCAAGCCGACTCGCTTTAAGGTGCGATTCAGAGTGCGTGGATTCCAGCAGCCAGCAGAAGAGAGAGGCCGTACATTCGCAGCCACACTGCCGTACAGTGCACTGCATATCTTTCTCTCTCTCGTCAACTCACTCGATCTTGAGCTCAGACAGATGGACGTAGAGACGGCCTTCCTCAACTCAAAGCTAGACACACCTGTATGGGTTGAGTGCCCTGATGGATATAAGGAGTCAGGCATGGTTTGGGAGATACATAGGGCGGCGTACGGACTGGCTGGGGCACCACGTGCATGGCAAGAGACGGTAGATGAGGTGCTCAGGGAGATCGGGTTCGTACAACATTCGATCGAGCGGTGTGTATACATGCATCCAGAGAGGCTGTGTTATGTGTGTCGATTCGTGGATGACTTCGGTGTTGCGTACATGCACGAGGAGGTGTTCCGATGGCTGTTTGGTGAGCTGACTAAGCCAGGAAGGTTCGTTCTGACTGACCTGGGGCCGATGGATGTCTATGTGGGAGTGCAAGTGAAGCGAAACAGAGCCGAGAAACTGCTGTCGCTCTCCATGCCTCACTACATAGACAAGGCCCTTGCTCAGTTTGAAATGACCGAAGCCAAGCCAGCTGCCACACCACTGCCAGAGGGGGCCGACCTCAGCGAGCAAGGGGATGGGTGTGTAGATAGCGACTTTCCCATGCACGCATTGATGGGTTGTCTAGTGTTAAGTGTGTGTCGGCCTGACCTCTCCTACTCTGTGTCTAAGCTGTGTGCATTGCAAGCCAGGCCGACACGCGCACACACCAGTGCTGCCAAACACGTGTTGCGTTACTTGAAGGGCAGCAGAGATAGGGGCATAGTGTTTTCGGCAGTCGATTTCAATACCCACGACAAGGCAGGCAACACCTTCATATCGTTTGACATGACTGGCTATGCGGATGCGTCATGGAACGAGCCACACACACACAATCGTTCTACGACTGGCTATGTTGTGTTCATGGGCGGCGGACCGGTGGTGTGGCGTAGCTGTAAGCAGAGCATGGTGGCAGATAGCTCACCGGAGGCAGAGTTGATAGCATTGCATGAATGCACACTGCAGGTCAGGTACGTCAAGAATGTTCTTGATGACATGATCGACTGTGGCGTCATGTGTGGGGCAGCCAGAGCATACACAGACAATAGCGGGGCCCTTGGCATTGCTGCCAACCTCACTAGCGTCAGGAAGGAGAAGAGGCACTTTGATCGTCGTGTATGGAAGGTGCGTAATTTGGTTGCCGGTGGTGTCTGCTCGCTGTTCTACGTCAACACGGAGGACAACGTTGCAGACGCACTCACCAAATCACTACCAACATCACGACACAGATACCTGACTGACCTGATGCTGCCTCCATTCACACATGCGTAGCCATGGTTTAAGTGATGTCTAGAGCAGTCTGATGGCTGTGGTACGCTCTTCGAGCGAGAGGGGGTGTCAGGACAGCCATCAGCCAGGGCCCGTTTCATGATTGCCAGTGATCGTGCGAGCTTGGACTCGGAACTTGGTTGTGATGCGCATTCATATCCTTTCGGGTCAAGGATATATCGACATCTGTGTGCCACGCTCACGCTGACAGCCGTCGTCGCCTGTATTTCCTCCATCACCAAAGTGCCAATCAACGACACCGTGTGCACATGAGATCATGCTTGTCTGTGCACGATGTGAACCTGCACGTTGTATGTAAGGAAAGACATCATGTTGAGACCTTTTGACGCCAAGTAATTGATGGCACCAATCAAGGCCTTCCCCTTCCCATTGTTCCACGTGGGTCACCCTAGTCAGAAGGCAGTCGCAGAGTAGAGGGCATGCGCTCTAGCAACTCTACGGGACTGGTGTGATACCCGCGGGTTCACTTTTTGTATCAATTCACTGCTCCAAACACGGGATAGAAGCATTTTGTGTGTGACATACGTTAACTCATAGCGCAACGGCAGGCAGAGTCTGTCGGTCTCTCATGAAACGAACTGCGTCAACATCGACCAACCCTCAATCATGCGACAAACATGCCAGCACCATCCTCAGCGCCCGCCTGGCGTATCTTCCAGCGGCGCCGCCCACCACGCACACACATACTCGCACTACGCGCCAACGCAACGGACAGACGAGCACGAACCCACCCCATCACCTGGCCATACGACTTGTCTGCCCACGCAGCCTTGGTGCGCAGCTTCTCAACCAGGCGGCTGAAAAAACCGTTGGCCTCTCTGCCCTACACACCATCCACCGTGACGCACAAGGGGGTGAAGTGGATGGACTTGTCCTCGCACAAACGGCTGTGGTGGGCCTTCTTGGTCTTGGCCTTGCTCTTGAGGATGGAGGCGGTGGATTGCTTGCGGTAGGACGGTGCGCCAGCGTTCGTCACGCATACGTCGAACGACACGTCTTTCTGCCTCTCCCACACCCCTCTCACCACCATGTCCGTCCGCACTCCCTTCTCCCCCTCCTCCTCGGGCTCCACGATCATCACCTCCTTCCTGACCGCCGACTCGCCCCAAGCCTTGGCAGAAAGGTCGCACAGCACGTCCACCACCTCGTTGTGCCGCCGAATCACCAACCCACCCACCCCACAGTTGAGGGCGTGGTCGAGCGAGTATGCAGCCCCGCAGCCATCGCAGTGGGTGGGCATCTTGAGAGGTTCGTAGGCGTACCGGATGGCCATGTTGTCGCGGAACTCGTCAGGCGTCAGGTCGGTGTGGTCCTCCGCGTCAGGCCGGCAAGTCACCCACCCGGCTGTCTTGCCTTCGATCGCCCGGTGGACTGCCCGTCGTCTCTCTGGGGGCAGCTGCTGGAGGCCGTCCTCGAAGCGCTCCTTGGCTGCCTCATCGGTCGCCCGCCGCCCC